GTGAGGGGGTTTCGTTTCTCTGCCGAGCCTTCTTTGAGTGCTGGCTCCTCCAGGTTTCCAGTGCATTCCAGGGAGAGAGATAGAAACCAAAGCAAACAAAGTGCCCCCATAGGACCCTCTCCTCCTTCCAAAAAGCTTCTATTTTTAATTCTCTGCAGCTTTTAAAACAGTTGAATGGGGAGGTTTCAACAGTCTGTGGTGGAAGAGAATTCCTGCTTTCTCTAAGGACGCCCACTTTAGATACTCCCAGCTGGCCACGGGACCCAGGGCCCAGGCTGGACGAACAGGGTTTCTTAGCGGTTCCTTTTCAGCGTGTTCTGTCATCACAGAGTAAACTTGTAACAACTGTGTTTTCCTCTCCACAAAGAAGTTAGAAAGCATGTTTTGAGCTGCTTGCTAACGGCATGCAAAACGTACCCACTTTTCCCCTGAGCATCCAGCTCTGATGCCAAAAGTAGGCTTTACTAGTGCCTGGTACTTTGTATGGGTGCTTGACTTTAAACCAGGGATCCCTAAGCTCTCTGTGGGACTTCTCGTTCACTCCACATCCACCCTGCAACGTGGGTGGCCAAAGGCGAGCCCGTCTCTGCCAGGTGGGGAAACGCGGCCGACACATAGAACGTGGCAAGTGTTTTTCCCAAGCACGTATGGAGAATGTGAGCGGCAAAAGTCAACATGCCCTGTGTGGCTCTGTCTGGTTTGGGGCCTCGGGGCCACTCTGTCCCGAACACACGTTATAGGGGGTCATCCTGTAGGCATCCGGTGAGCATTTGTTGTCCAGCTGCCAGGATATGCATTTCGCACACATTTCTTACTCCCTGATTCCCAAAAGCTATGCCGCCACGCCAGTGTGAGGCTGGCATTGGGCACCCCTGAACACGGGGACCACAGGAGGAGCAGGATTTCTTAGGCTGTCCTCCACGTTACCCCAGGCTGCCTTGCTAGAGCTGTCAACATTTGCAGGGCACATTTTCAAAAAGACACATTGAAGGCAATTGGCCATAGAAAGCACTAGACCCAAATAACCTCTCAGGGTTCTTAAGGACAGGACTTGAAGGGTGGGAAGGAAGCGCCAAGTTAGCTGCAGGCGTGAAGGTGATGAGAAGGGCTTCAACCGAATGGAGAGTTAGACGGCCCAGGTTTCAAAGTTCTTTCTGCCTCCTAATGTTACAGTCATTAAACCAAGAATTTAAATCCTTCGCCAAAATGCACTATTTCCTAATACAGATCTCTTACTTGGCAAAATGCTACTTATAAATGTCTCCTCCTCTTCTCTCCAGCTTTCAGAGCTCAACTAGAGCCCATTTTATATTAAATAAGAAACAAAGCAGTAGAAACCACGAGAACTAATGTGTCTGGGCCCATCCCCTGCCCCGTTATTTCATCTCAACTCTGAATCCAGTGAAGCCCTATTAGCAATTCAGCCATGAACTTGCTGCATAAAGTGGGGGAAGATCTGGAGCATATGTTTTCAATTCATTTACACTTGACTCATCAAAATGGGCTGCTTTAAAAAAAAAAAGAGCTATTTGATGTTTAAGGAATTGTTTCCACCTTTTAAAATAAACCCTTCTAGGGTCTTTCTCTGTCCACATCAGGAAGCTGCAGAATGCAGGGGACTCAAATGCAGGAAGGTTCAGGGACGGTTCAAAACTCAGAGCCATGAATTTAGAGAGGGTTCAAAAGTTGGCAAAGTGAACCCTCTCATCCCTGCCCACAAATAATAAATAACAATCACAACAAGGAAGAGGAGAAAGGGGAAAGCCACTGGAAAGCCATAAGTCATCCTGTCTTCAGCCTTACAGCTCTCTCCAATAAAGCAGGAGTTTTTCAGAGGACTTTGGTGGTGCTGCCTGCAGGGAGCTGAGCTTGTCTTCTGTCGTAAATTACCTTGCTGGGGATAAGCTTTCTTCCAGGTCCAACAGACAAGCAGTTCTGCAAGACCCATCACCCAGGGCTGGGCTTCTTAAATTATCTTTCATCTGGTTGTGACATCTGAAAAGCTAGAGGGAGAACGATCACCCCCACTCTGACCTTCCCATACCGCTAGGGTTTTCTTTCTTATAAAGAACGACACCACAAGAAATAGACACGACAGCATCCTATTTGCAAACAAAAATCGGTGGAGGAAACAGAGCTTTCTCTACGCATCTCCAAACAAATACAATGTTCTCAAACTCGTCCACGCTAAACTAAAGATTTATTTATTTTTTCATTGAGATGTGACCCTAAGTCCTTTTCCCTACCGAGGTAGCCCTCCTGATGCTTAAAATCACCACGTGGGGGAAGTGAGGATGGGAGGAAGACTTAAATTTCCCTTCATTTGCACTTTGCAATCAACAACCTCGCTGCAGGATTTGGACCATGTTCAGATGCACACGCACCCAGACAGCCATGTGCACGCAAACATCTGAGGACCCGGAATAATTCGAGTAAATGGCAGCAGTGCCTTGAAATGTGATCAAGTCTTGAGAGCAGGTACCAGGCCAAGAGAAATAACTCTTATCCATAAACAGTTCCGTAGTAAATCAGAAAGTCTTTTCTTCCATATGTCACCTGGCATGTTTAATTTGTCTGCTTTGACAGGATTGTGGCAAGCAGTGCTGACCGTTGGTGAAATGAGAATGGGCAGGACGTCGGGCGTGGAAGGGCACGGTGAAGGGTATACACAGTGGGCATCTCAGAAGTGCTTGCAGGCTAGCTCCATGTGATGGAGAATACAAAAGAAGGAAACAAAGATCTCAGATATCACAGGTTTGAAACACGTCAAGCCGATGGGCAGATACAGGAACACTCGTATTGTCCAAGAAATTTAACTGTTTTCTTTCCTCGCTTGCTTCTCCTTGGAATTTGGCCTTTGTCGCAAATGCTAGGAAATAACATAGATCTATTCATTTTCATTTGAGCTGTTTACTTCTGGAACACAAGATTTACACCATAGACAGGAAAACGTATGCTTTCCAAAGTCTGCACCTCCTGAACAGGGGTAGCCAGTGAATTTATTAGTGTCAGACTGGCTGACCTTGGATCTGGTCATACAATTTGTTGTGAAAAGAAGAGCTCTTCACCTGGAGAAGAAACACGCCTGATCTGGATTTTGAGTTCTTATACTTTATTTATTTGGGAAGAAGGACCCTAGTTACTAGCTGTGAAGCCCAATGTTCCCTTCTCTGAACCAGCTTGGACACCATGATTACCTTCACTGCTGAATCGGTATAGAAAGGACACCATTTCATCCTACCCTGTGAATTAGGAATGATCTATCCCGTTTTGCAAATGAGTAAACTGAGACCCAGACAGAGATCAAGTCGTTACTCCAAAGTTACCTAGTGGCAAGGTCTGTATTCAATTTGCCATTGGTGATATACATATACCTTAATTCTTTGTGTCCATTTCCTCTTTTCTATTTTATACAAGAGAAGTGTAATGCATACACATAAAAGTGCATAAATATTCTGTTTGACAAATCCAACACCTGGATCAAGAAACAGATCATTTCCAGCCCACAAGCCTTCATTGTGCCCTCCTTCATTACTCACCCCCCTTAACAATTATATTCCCTTCTCTTTTCATGCCAGGGGACCAGGGTGGGTGTAATATTTGGTCATGAGCACGTGCTTCGGAAGGAGACCACCCGGGCAGAAATCCTGCCACACCTTTCACCAGTTGATAACTTCTGTGTCTCAGTTTTCCCAACCTTGAAATGGGGGTATTCACCGAACTACTTCACAAGATCATGGTGGAGATAGTATACCTGAAGAGCTTAGGTCAAGGTAAATCGAAAACCTCCGGGAAAACCCTCAGGAAGTACCAGCTACTATTCTTGCTGGAACATTCATCCCCACTCTCAGAGACTGGCCACGGGAGACCAAAGAGACACGATAGGAGAGCAAGGGAGAGAAAGAGGAATTCTAAGCAAGCAGGTGCTGAACGTCAGCAGCAGAAATAAACCCATCTCTAGGTTGGGGAGAGGAATAGAGCCCAACAGGTTGAGGAAGAGCTAACTAAGCTAGACAGCTTTCCAGTTGCACCGACAGCTTTCCAGTTGCACCGAATCAAGTTTTCTGAGTAAAACTGTTATTTGAAACATTATGCTCTGTACCTGTGCAAATAACTCAGATGCCAAAATGAGTAGGCACGCGTGCTGTTTTAGATCGCTCATGAACTTCCCGTGACCCTCATCGTCTAGAATTCAATGGATACTTTAAAATTTCTTCCAGTAGAGAGAAACGGGGCGTGAAGTCTTTTCTACCCAATTCACAGTTTAATTCCTGACATAACTTTTTAAGTAAAATAGATTCAGGCGTTTTTCCATGTCACATTTTTAACTATTTTTGCACCACTTGAAATGCTTTTTACCCATTTAACTTAGAACTTCTCAAAATTCTCTGCAGTGTAAATCAAAAGGAAGTAGCTTGTTTAAAGCATAGATTCTGAGAAACCAGAAACCTCAGGAAAATAAAAATAGAGGATTAAGAACTTGCCATGAAAATGTCTTTTTTTTTTCCAGCCCAAAGGAGGGCATGTACTGCAACATCTCCACATTTAACGAAATACTTAATCAAGTTATCAGCATTAAAAATGAAAAGAGAAAAAAAAAAAAGAACATCTTTTCAAGTAATACTAAAAATGATCAGCATATAAGAGAAATTTGAACAACGAGTTGACCACAATAAAACATCAACATGGTTCAGGTTCCCAACAAGTGTGACCATGGATAGAGACCTGATGTATTAATTTGTTCAGTCAGGACTGGGGTTAGGAAAACTGAAAATGGATAAGAAAAGAGGCCCATGCTTGATTCTTTCTTCTCTCTCTCTCTCTCTCTCTCTCTCTGTCTCTTTGCCCCCTTTGTCCTTACCCTCCCTCTCATGCTTCTGGTTTTCTTTTTCATATTTGATTGTGAGATAAGCAGACCAGAAATAACTATTAAACTCCAACTCTGTGCGCTTTCCAGTTCTGATAGATCTTTTCAAGGCAATGGAGATAATGTTACTTACAGAGCTTGTCAACAGCGTGGCCATGTGGCCGGCCGGGCCCTCTGTTTAAAAGGAACAGGATGCTTCCTTCCTGGGTGGCTGGCTGGAGCTGGAACAGCACATGATGTTCAAGATAAGAAAACGGAAGTTCCAAGCACTGAGCTTGTGCGGTTTAACCAAATGAGGTAAAACGAGAAATGGAAGGACAGTGAGAAGCTGCCTTATACGCAGCCTCGTGTCAGAGCGGCGCGGGGATTTGGAGCCGGACAGCATCTCTCTCAATCACAGTGGGAAGGCCTTGTCCCCTGCTCCCTAGCTCTGCTTGGATGTAAATATGAGATAAAGCAGCTTTGTTACCTTTTAGGGATATCGTAAATACCAAAGAGATCATTGTAAAGTGATTCTTAATGCCCTTGAGCTTGCTTTGAAAGATTAAGTAAATGGAATTTATAATTTCTAGTCCCGCGGCTGAAGATTGTGTCCACCCATTTCTAAAACCAGGGGTTACTGTTTCCTCCCTTAGAATCCTCCAACCCTTGAGGCAACTGAGCTCACTCTGAACAGGATGTTGGCCATCATCTCAGCCATGGGAATTGGCATCCAGACTTTGCCCCAAGCTGACCCCGCCATGGACCACACGACCAACTTTCTGTCCAGAACAAGATCTGGTCACCGCCACGTTCTTCGGAACCTCGGGTTCCTCGTCTGTAAAACGAGGATGGTAACAATATTAGTTCCTGCCTCATGGAGGTATTTCTGCTCAGCCTGCTGCAGTCTACAGGTGGGCGGGGAAAGAGACATACCTGGTCATCGCTAGCTCTGTGACCCTCAGCAAATCACTTCAATGTCTGGCTGCCCAGTCCCTCATCTGCGAAATGGGAAGAAGAAGAGCTGCCTCATAGTGAGTTCAATGTCATGTAACTCCGTAAGTTATTATTACTGACCTGGCTTCTCTTGTTCTGACTTACATTTTCAGTCTCTCTTATTTGTGGACATCTGACAGGAGCCAGTGATGCCCCTGGCTTCATCCTAGGCTCTCCTCCATGGATACAACTTGGACTCTCCCCTTATAGGTCAAGAGGCTCACACCAACTCAGGTCCCACCTGTCTGGCTGGAACTCATCTGGGCCTTATCATCCCCTACCATGGGGAGGTGGGGTGGGGGTATGGACTGACCCACTTTAGGAAGCCACTGCCAAATAATCAAAATGGGCTTCTCCTCAGCCCCTAGACTCTCTCCCTTGACTCACTGTTTATGCTGTCTTCTGGGATGGTGCCCTTTAACTGGTTTTTCAGGCATTCCTCTCAGTAAAACATTTTTTAGCACAAACACCAATATAGATTTATAGATTATCTACATATAATGCTCTGTTGATATAAATTCAATCATTTTCTTCGTACACCCCAAGAGACCATCTTTGGTTCCCTCTGCTGCTGTCCAACCTTCCTGGCCCGGTGGGAAGAGTACTATCCTGTGGGATGCTGGGCGTCCTACCCTAGTGACAGCTGTGCACACACTGAAACCCAAGATCAGGTCTACGGCCGAAATGAGCCCCCATTCTCAGCACGGGACCGTCGCCCCAAGTCAGGTCAGCCCGGTGGCCAAGTGACCTGTGTTGTCAAGCAGGCCCATGCTCAGAAGGGTCCCTTGCTTGGTTAAATGACAGATATCAGCATCTTGACATTCATAAAATTCTTATCCTTGAACTTGTGAGGTGCAATGGGACAAGGGAGTCTGCATGTGAGTGGAGGAGACGTGCACAGCATGGGTGTCTCCCGTTCCTTGCTCCCCTGTTCACATACAGCTTTGGCAATGCCTCACGGGCACAGCATTCCAGCGGACCCGGCATGTGTTGGAGTTTAGCGAGACTCAAACTGAGTACAAGGTAAGCATGTTATGGAAGCCATCTGCTTCCAGAGTGTGGTAGAATGCGCACACTTCAAGAAGTGAAATAAAAACAATGGGGTTAGTTTCGTGAAGTGTTTCCACTGCTCTGGTAAGAATTAAATTCATATGCATGTACGCACTATGAAAAACAAATTGTATAATTTCAGTGATTTCGAAGACAGGTTAAGTGTTCCTCTATCCGCATTGAAAACTGGCATTCCACGCTATAAAGATGAATGGTATAATTCATGCTAATAATTTAAAATTTTAACTTTTGTTTACTTAAAATGACATCAGACAGCAAATAAAAAAAGACCATGACAAGTTAAGAAAGAGACTGTGAAGAAAAGAAAATATTTTCTGTTTTAGTACTTTTAATGCCCCTTTTTTCTTGCTTTCTGAACAAGAAGTCTCACTATTTTACACTGTGACAAACCCTGACCCATGTCCAAATGACCAACCTCTCTCTATCAAGAGAGAAGATTGTGCCTCCGTTTTGCCCCAGAAAGAGATAATGCCCTTCTAAGACCATGGTTAATACATACAGTTGATTTCCTGCTTCATATTTCATTCATTCAACAAATATTTGTGCCTGTGTATAGTTACAATTTAAATAACAAAGCACTAACTATTTGCCCAAGAGAATAAGTACTTCTTCTACCCTGTTTCTGACACAGCAGAAAATGCCTGCCGAAATGGAAAGATCTCAGTTCAGAAGCATACTGCTAGGGAACTCGGGGACTGAGCCCTAGAAGAACCACCCCCAGGCATTCTTCACCCACACCCAGGAGCTAATGATTTCCAGAGGTGGTCACCGCAAAGAATTCACAGGAACATGGGTCACCATGTCCAGGATCATGTCAAGAAGAGAAGGTCAACAGCTCCAAATATTTCAGAGGTGAAAAGGTCATTCTTATAAATACCGTATCCTTCACATCCAGCACACCACGGTACGTGCTTTGCCACAGTTTGGTGGGCCACCAGCTGCCACCAACGGAGCCTCCATCCAAAAGAAATTCCTCAGTCTTCACCAGCCAGATGTCACTCTTACACCTTGGTTGACAGCTTCTTCCAAGAGTGTGCATGCATCGGGCTTTTGCTATGCAATGGGCTGAGCCAGTGGTTCCTAAAGTGTAGTCCAGGGACCTCTGGGGGTTCTTGAGACCTTTCCAGTAGGTTCATCCAGTTAAAACTATTGTCATAATAATACTGAAATGTTATTTGCTTTTTTCACTTTCGTTCTCTTAAGAGTTTACACTGTAGTGTTCTAGAAGCTACATGACGTGAGGATTTCTTGTGTTTCTTGTATTCTTGTATTTTAAAGATCCATTTTAATTTCTTTAAAAAAAATTTTTTTTAACATTTATTCATTTTTGAGACAGTGAGAGACAGAGCGTGAGCGGGGGAGGGGCAGAGAGAGAGAGAGAGGGAGACACAGAATCCGAAGCAGGCTCCAGGCTCTGAGCTGTCAGCACAGAGCCTGACGCGGGGCTTGAACCCATGAACCCTGAGATCATGACCTGAGCCAAGTCAGACGCTTAACCGACTGAGCCACCTGGGCGTCCCTATTTTAATTTCTAATATAGTTAATATTTATAAATGTAAGCTCTCTCAGGTCATCAATAATTTGGAGTCATAAGACCAGAAAGTTTGAGAAGCACTGGACTGAGTCCACTAGGTATATGTCACCTTTTCCATCTCTTCAAAGATGGGTCTTCTCTCTCCTCCCCAAGATAATTCTTTCTCACAGACCCAGCAGTTTCCAGTGATCGTCAGAACTCACTGAGGAGATCGCCATGTCAATGACCAACAGGCAGATGACTGTAATTCAGCCTCGGTCACTTCAGCAAGCAGAATGCTGATGGTGTGCACCTGTAGGGCTCTGCAAAGTGATTCTTCATATGACATAAGTCACACACCATGTTTTATGGAAGAATGGGATTTAAACTGTCTTTGCATAAAGAACCATCTAGTATCCATCAATTTTTAAAGTACATTAAAAGAATACAACTGGGTTTCCCCCAACAATTAATTAATTAGTTAATAAGTTAGATGAATTGCATCCAACAGGGCATATATCTGGAAAAGGAAAGCTCCGCCTCTTCCTAAAGAACGTCTGCAACACACACACATGAACCCCGTCTTGGACACATATGGTATTTAATACATACCTGTTACAGAACAACCAACGCTTTTACCTTTTCATGAACTGTGAGTCATTCTGCCCCAGAGAGGGCTTTCTGAGCTTCATAAATATTGATCATACTCCCTAAATTCTAACAGGCAGTTTCCTCAAATATGAATGATACTTCTCAACTTCACTCTTTATTTTCCGTATTCAGTCACATTGCTGACGACCATGGAAGAAAAAGATATTCCATATAAACAGAGACTCCTGATAACTGAGGCTTCGTCACTTCAAAGTCTTTCTTTCTTCCTTTCTTCCTTTCTTCCTTTCTTCCTTCCTTTTTCTTTCTTCTTTCTTTCTCTTTCTTTCTTCCTTCCTTCCTTTCTCTTTCTTTCTTTCTCTTCCTTCCTTTTCTTTCCTTTCCTCTCTTTTCTTTTCTTTTCTTTCCTTTCCCGTTTCCTTTCCTTTCCTTTCCTTCCTTGCCTCCCTTCTTCCCTCCCTCCCTTCCTACTTTCTATTCATTCATTCATAACCACTCCTAAACCATGAGCTAGGAATCATGCCAGGCCCTGAGACCACAATGACAAGCAAAACAAAGTGTGCCCTCAAAATCGCTCATATTCTTCTGGATGTTGAATAGAATTTGTCCTAAAATTTATCCCAATGGTCTTCAGAGTGATGTATGTGAAGAAAATAGCAGAACCTCTAATTTGTTATCTCGTGTATGTTTTATGGTATAAATATTAGTTTAGCAGAGCATGCACAGATTACAAAGACATTAAAATATGTATCTACTGAAAGTGAGTGCCCCCCCGATTTTTACTGACAGGGTGTTGCAATTAAGAAAGGTGGGAGACACTGATGGCATGTGCCTCACTAGGCCTCCTTTTTTAAAAAGGAGTCAGTCTGTTGTCATCATGAACACTTCCTTGGCTAGTCAGCAGCTGCCTGGGAGTTAATCATAAAACTAGTATATGCTGTTAGCGGGTTGGCCTGTAAGGGAATTAAGAGGTGATATACTAGATTTTTTTCTTTTGCGGAAGCAGCAAGACCCAGAGCAATAATTGACTTGCCTAAACCATATCCCAATTTGGTGAAGGAGTCAGCACTGTTTTTGAAAGTGTAATTCTGAGTCACCATCCCAGTGGGAGAGGCCTCGTGAAAAGGCTGGCCTGAGGAGCTGGACGTTTTTGATCAGAATCTCCAGGGGCAGGGCCCAGGCTCCAGGCTCTGAGTTTACAACAGGCTCCCCAGGAGATCCCCGAGCCCTCTAGGGGCTGCGGGAATGGAAGGGGGAGACCGGGCCACGGTTCCTGTGTTCTCAGCGCTGGGCTCCCTCCTTCAGGCAGGTTGTCACGGCTTTTAGAGCAGGAACTATGTGTTCGGTAACAGATGTGCTGTGCCGTTTGACCCGATATAAATGGCTGTGGATTGCTGATTTTGCTAATTCTGGGACTGTTTCTCAGGGGCTTGTTTTTATCTCTTCCTTTGATGTCAGGCTGTTTGCCATCATTTCTTACTGCCTTCAGTGTGATCACTGCTAATCTCTCTTCCCTCCTTCCTCGTCCCCCCTCTACTTTTCTGCTTTTAATTTGTTGTGGGCTGGGAGTCTACATAAATGGGCTTGTTAGGAGTGTGTGTTAATTAAGAGTCAATTA